TGAGTGTGTGACTGTCTGTGTGAGTGTGTGACTATCTGTATGAGTGTGTGGCTGTCTGTGTGTGACTGTCTCTGTGTGAGTGTGTGACTGCCTGTGAGTGTGTGACTGTCTGTGTGTGACTGCTTGTGAGTGTGTGACTGTCTCTGTGTGACTGCCTGTGTGAGTGTGTGACTGTGTGTGACTGTCTGTATGTGACTGTCTGTGTGAGTGTGTGACCATCTGTGTGTGACTGCCTGTGAGTGTGTGACTGTCTGTGTGAGTCACACTTTCTGACACACAGTCACACTTTCTGACTGAGTGTGTGACTGTGAGTGTGTGACTGTGAGTGTGTGACTGTCTGTGAGTGTGTGACTGTCTGTGAGTGTGTGACTGTGTGACTGTCTGTGTGTGACTGTCTGCCTGTGTGTGTGCATGATTGTCTGCCTGTGTGTGTGCGTGACTGTCTGCCTGTGTGTGCGTGACTGTCTGCCTGTGTGTGACTGTCTGCGTGAGTGTGTGTGACTGCCTGCCTGTGTGTGTGTGTGGCTGTCTGCCTGTGTATGTGTGTGGGTGTTTGCCTCGGTGTCAGTGACTGTCTGCCTGTGTGTGTGTGTGTGTGTGTGTGGCTGTCTGCCTGGGTGTCAGTGACTGTCTGCCTCTGTGTGTGCGTGCGCGCATCTTCTAGTGAGGGACCCTCTGTGTGTGTGTGTGTGTGTGTGTGCCTGCTAGTGAGTTTGTGTGTGGGGGTGTGTGCCTGCTAGTGAGTGAGCTTGTTTGTGTGTCAGTGAGCTTGTCTGTAGGGATCATATGTGTGTGTGTGTTAGTGAGCTTGTCTGTAAGGAGCATGGGTGTGTCGGAGCCTGTCTGTTGTGAGCATGTGTGTACAGTGAGCTTGTCTGTAGTAAGCATGAGTGTGATCGTGAGCTTGTCTGTAGTGACCATATGTGTGTCAGTGAGCTTGTCTGTAGTGAGCATGTGTGTGTCAGTGAGCTTATCTGTAGTGAATCTGTGTGTTAGTGAGCTCTTCTGTAGGGAGCGTGTGTGTCAATGGGCTTGTCTGTAGGGAGAGTGTGTGCGCATCAGTGAGCTTGTCTGTAGTGAGCGTGTGTGTGTGACAGTTAGCTTGTCTATAGTAAGCTTGTGTGTGTGTATCAGAGTTTGTCTGTACTAAATTTGTGTGTGCGCCAGTAACCTTGTCTGTGTGTGTCATTGTCTGTCAATGAGCCTATTTGTGTGCATCAGTAAGATTATCTGTCTGTGTGTGAGTATGCTTTACTGTATAATTTAATTACCCTAAAAGAAATAATATTTTGAATTAGAAGAAGAAATGTATCAATAAAAAAAAGTATATATATATATATATATATATATATATATTGTTGCATCACCAGGGCTCCAGTGTCCAGTATATATATAGGCAATTAAAATAGTTGGCTGCACTCTCGGATTTCCTTAAAATTTTACTTTTGTTGAAATATTTAAGAGAAGATCAACGTTTCAGTCCCTCTTGTGGATTTGCATCAGGATCATGACGAAAGTCCACAAGAGGGACTGAAACATTGATCTTCTCTTAAATAAAAGTTACATTTTCAGGAAATCCAAGAGTGCAGCCAACTATTTCAATTGCGCATATATATATATATATATATATATATATATATATACATATATATATATATATATATACATATATATATATATGCAATTGAAATAGTTGTATATCTATATATATATACATATATATATATATATAAACACCCTACATAGCACAATGACTGGCTATGGGGCTGGCATAGATTTTTTTCCAGGGCTGCTTCGAATACCCAGTCCGGCCCTGACACTAGGTCTCCCCCCATGAATTTTGCAATTGTAAAATGTATTTTGTCAAATAGCCCCCACCCTATGCCCACATCGAGTTAGGGACTTTTAAATATGTAGCAGGAGGTGGACAGATCAATGTGCACCTACTGCTACATATTTATAAGTCCCCCAATCGATGTCCATGGGTGGCACTACGTCCGCACCCCAGTTATCGCATAGGGAGGTTTAAAACCTCTATTATAGTAATCTATTAACTCCCATGGGCTTTTTATTTATTTGTTATTTAATTTTTTTGTTTTTAATATGTTGACTGGCTATCAAGCTCTGGCCAGCCAACACATAATTAACCCTCAAATTGACGAGTGTTTTTTGAGTTCTAGCAAGAAGGCAAATAGTAATACAAGTCATTATTCACTTGCATGAAATCAAGAGAATGATAATTTGCTTATGTTTATCCTGCCAAAAGCATTCGGCAAATTCAAACTGGTGCTTTGTGAATACACCGAATCCTATACTAATTTTAATCTATACACTGAATGCATCCAGGTGGTTGGTGCAGACTCGCCCGGGCCGACTGAATTCCAATTGCTTTAGTAAAGATATGAATTGCCAATGCAGTCATAATTCGGTAATTTATTACAGGATTTCATACGTCTGAACAAAATTCCATATTTAGTGAAAAATACTGTTAGTTTTGCTTTCTGCTGCAGAAAAGTATGTTGCGTGAGAACTTACAATAAATTCTCCACTGAATCTAAAAAAACCTACCAGACACTTTTATGGTAAGCTAGTCTGTCTATACATACACACTCTCTTCCATCCTAACCAGACCAGTCACATACCACATCATTGTCACATTCTAGTAATTTACATGGCATATGCAATGTACAGACTGTGTGAAAAGAAGCAATTAGATGAGTCAGATTCTCATGCATAACAGCTAGTACAGTAAAGTGAACAGAAAAAGAATCCCTAAAATGCACCGGGCAATAGCCTGCAGGTATAAACTCACAATTAAACTTTTCTTTAAAGTAATTTTAATTGCATGACACAAACAGAAATTTGAAATACAACACCTGCACAAGGCACACTTCTCAAGCACTCAGCAATCAGCTACATGTCAGGGCAGGTTGGGGGACAGGGTGCTAATTACCAGAGAGGCTATCATCACAAGGTGAAATAGGGCAGGATGGAATGTACTGCCTACATACCCCAGTCCAGAAATCAAGAGAGGCCAAGTCATGTAGTAGATTGGCTGACAGCATGCAGGGTAAGTGCAAGAAAGCAATGAGTGTTAAATGAAGTGCAGATAAGCTTGCCTGTTCATGCTCATCGTCAGGGGCTTCACAAATAGACATACTTAGTTGCATCAGCACTGCTGTACTACATTTTAAACAAGCACTTCCCGCAGTGAAGGACTGTCATGGTCAAACCTGAGACAGAGTAAAGGAAAAATAGGACAATTTGTATTACCAGCCATTGATGTGATCTGGTCTAATACTGTATAGCCAAAACATAGATCAAGGGTCCCAAACCCAGTCCTCATGGGCCACCAACAGTCCAGATTTTGTCAGCATCGCCATTGGAATAAAAAAAGGGAAATACACTGTTGGTGGTCCATGAGGACTGGGTTTGGGACCACTGGCATAGATAAAGGTAACTCAGGTAACTCAGAGTCAGAAAAGACAAAATTAGGATTCTTGAAAGTGGTAATACTTACAACAGAGCCAAGGTCAGGAGTACAGAGTTCAGAAGAGGCCAAAATAAAAGACCAAGAACAGAGATATTGATGCTGAAATGACGCCACAGAAACCAGCAACTCAGAATAATGCAAGGAAAAAAAAGATCATACAGCTTTTCTTGATATTGCTTATGTAACAAAAGAACATACTAACCTAATGGCTAATTCCATTTAAGAGGGATGAATGTAGTTTATTCCATTCTAGGATCGGACAATTGTATTAATGGTACAAGAGTAACTTGAAACTTTGGAAATACTTCTTCACAATTGTTTCAGCATAGCCTGATTGGTGATACATGATACGTTAATTACTGTGGACATTAAAAAGACAACAAAAAATGCAGAAGAGAGCACATTCAAATGCATAATAAAAAATGATATGATTGTTAAGCAAATAAGTATCTAACAAAAGCATCAATATCATGTATTCCAATATGCCCTGTTTGTGCAAACAAATTATAGACCACTGCTTTCTAAATTTTTCATGTTGTGGACACACCTTTCAGACATTCGCAACACGGTTATTCAGTTTTACTAGCAAACCGGTCAAACTAACCTTTCATAAGAGATACGGATACATATATAAATTGTAATTACTAAATGTATGGGGACACAACATAGCTCATAAAATAATAAAAAGAAATACTAAATATGTGTTAAAAAAACAATAAAGACTTCTCTCATGGTTGTAGGAAACATGGAAGAAGGCAGTGACAAATATAAATTTTGGGACTGCATGCGGGTGAGCAGATCTATAACAGTTATAATGGTCTAGAGTGGGCATGTCCATTAACCCATACCTAAATCAGACGTTAGAAGAGGAATCAACCCCGATAATCCTTTTCCACTGGACCGCTGGTCCAACCTTGATTGTCAAGGGATCTTTTCCTCCTGCTGTGACAAGAAAATAAAACCACAACACACGACAAAATGGAAGGGGGCAGGAAGTTGTTCCAAGCTGGGAATTTTAAGATGGCTGGGATACTATGGAAAATGGCCCCCTATATATTTTTGATCCTACCCCATACCTAAACCCTTATCCCCTCACTTTAAGACCTCCCTTCTAGCTATTCCCTACACTTCCACCACTCAAACATGCCCTTTTTCCTGGCTAGCCCTTGGCCTGCCTTCTCAGGATCTAAACGCTGCACATACAGGCTTCATGCAACATGACCACTTCAAAACACTTAAGAAGTCATGGTGCTTGGAATAACCCTTTAAGCAAAATTTAAAATAACAATTTAAAATAGTTGGCTATCTTCTTCACATAAGTTTTAAAACATTGACATTTCGAAAAGGAACTGCAAAATATATTTAGTGGAATGACTGAAATATTTGACATCCTTTTTATGATAATTTATGTACATAATTGATTCAATAAACTCCTGTGATTCTTTTGTCACAAATAACATTTATATTGTCAAAGTGTGAGCGTGGTTGTTTAAAAGGCTGAAAGAAATATAATAATAATAATAATTTATTCCACAATTCTTTATAAATCAAGCAAACAAAACATATATGAATACCGCACTCAAAAAATGATTATAGTGAAATCTAAATTTGTATTAAATTGCAAAGATATTTAATATAACAGTAATTCATAGATTAATCAAGTGAACCTTTTGAAATTCATTCCAATCATATATATACATAGATTATTGACATATATACACAAAAAAACCTCCCTGTGCTGAATTTCATGAGCTCTATATCTATTTACACTGGTGGTTGATCAAAAAAATGAGTGAATAAAAATGAAGTGTCCAGAAAAAATATAAAAAAGAAAAAAGCAGAAAAAGAAAAAAAGAAAAAAGAAAAAAGAAGAAAAGAAAAAATGTATATATATTCCAGTCCTAATAATAGTCCAAAGTATAGTGCACTATACAATTCATAAGTAAATGGATGGGTCTCACCAAAAAATTCGTCAACTTGGTAGTATATTCAGTAGGAGGGTGGTAAATCTTGTAGATGATATATCTTGAATGAGGGTGAAAATGAGTTGTAGCTCGATGAGAAGGTAATCACTTATCCATTCTGTGGAATCTGTGGAATCTGATCAGTCTGACAGGTCTTAATCGTGGGCAATCCTGTAATCCTGTAATCGGGCTGAAAATGGGCTTTTTTTTTTTTGGGGGGGGGGGGAGTTTATACACTGATGATTTCACAAGATATACAAATGTGAGTAACAGATGGTGATGAGACATATAATATCACACATCACCAATATCAGATACGAGTCACCAACTAATTATTCTAATTTTAATGAACATGCAACTTTCCTAGAATTTTTTTTTTTTTTAAACACCACAACTCTTTTAACAATTTAGATTAACAACTACAAAGTGTGGAAAGAAACTTACAAGTGTGAGAGGTCTCACTACATGGAGGTACTGCTCAACTGGTAGGTTAATGGTTCCATAAGCCACCAGACAGGTAATATAATACATTCTGGATATCTGTGTTTCATGTAAATTACTTTTTGGGGAAAGCAAAATGTACAAATCAAAGTGGCAGAGTAACAGTGTGCAACCCAACATCGCACCAAGGAAGGGTAGACAAAGTTTGTCATGGGGGATAAGTACAAACTAATGTTCTTTTAATACATGAAACATGCACATCTATGTGTAGATGGTCCTACTCAAGCAGAGAATTAAATATGTGGATTGACAGATGGGGGATACTTGAGTCGTGATGCGAGGTGTCACATCTATTCAACCACGATCAGTATGATCTATGGAGCATGTATGCATGTTGGCAAACTATGAAGTCCTGCAAGTTATGATCTGCATCATCACATTGGTCTTTTAAGGTGAAACTTCCCATAAGAGCACCTAACTTGCCCTTGCTTTAGTAACTGATAACACCATACATTAATCATTATATTAATGCAGAGCAGAAAGAGTCCTTAGTGCTTTAAGAGTTGAATTACCAATAGTTAATTTATTTTGAAAAACAACAACAACAAAAAAACTTAATTTGTGGTTCACATATGGAATACCAATTAAATTGAAAATTGTAACAAATAGCAATATGGTACTCGTTCCTGCACTCAGTGACCCATGTTTAATATTTCAAAGGCTTTCTATTGCAGCAAATAGTGAGCATTAATTCTTCTTCAGTGATGTGTGCAAGAAATGGTTATGATGAGTATTTGTTCTTGATCTTCTCAAGCTAAATACTAATAATATGCTCATTCATAGTTGTTATGGACAAAAATAGTAACCCAATTTATATTAGTAAAATGCCTATTTACTCAACATAACTACAATCAGCATTATTCAACTTTCTATGTGATTCACTTAAAATGGCCACTAGGGAGTTTCCCCTTTAACATCGACTAACACCCTCATTAACAAGATGGCACTGGAATCTGGGGGAGACCTCCAAGATACCAGTGACATCACCCACAGTAGGCAGAGCATTAAATGAACCACTTAACACCTAACCAATTATTGATGTATTATTCCATGTTATCTCTGACAATGCTAATGATGTAATTTTGCTTTATTTGTCGTCCCCCCTGAATAAAGATTCCTCAAGTTTTTCATTAACCCGAAACTTGTGTCTGGTGTGAATTCAGGAGCATGCACGCACTATTTCTTTAATTTGGCCGGGGGCAGATAGGCAAGATGGGAGAATGTGCCTTTTCCTGTCCCATTGTTCTCCAGCTGGGCGTTGTCCCAGGGACACTGCCAGACCAGTTTAAACTGGTCTGCTCAATCTCTCATCCGCCCTTGCTAAACTTAAACCCCATGACGATTTGACTGTGTTCGTGGGATCTGAGCGCTGTTCGGATATATTGAGCACTCAGGGTTCTGTGGGTGGGTGGGGGGGATTCTGTTCAGTATAATAGGAATTATGTATTTTGTGTATTTTTGTTGTTGTTGTGAATGGAGATATTTTCTGTATGCTGGAGGTAATTGCCTTACTACACCCAAGCCATGCTTGCAGTCTGTCAAATAGGACTTCCATCTATCTTTTGAACCACTGGACCAATTTGTATGATTTTGACATATGTTTGTGTTTGGAGTATGCTGATTCTGAAAATGTTTTATGTGAATGTAATGTATACTTTTAAAGTTATGAATATTGTGTAAAACTGTGTATTTTTCTGCCTGTGATAATTACGTTAGCCCATTGTATTCAGTAATTGTATCACTGGCAGAGGGGAGGATTTCTGTTGGAATGAATGGGAGTGTCTAGCTGTGTTGTAATGTTCTGATTGGTTGTTCTACAAAGCCCTGTTGGCGGTATTGTATGTGTAAAACGTGCATAAAATAAAAGCCCTTTGGTGCTAATTGAAACAGATCTTCTTGACCCTCAATACGTAGCCTTGTCTCGTTATTGGAGGGAACTGCTATAAGAGCTGTTCCTGATACACTCTCCTGTCTTCCCCACACAGTCCTGGAAGTTGGAGGTTCATACAGGGTGGAAGGAAGAGGTCTTTCCCATACGGTCCTGGAGGACAGAAGCAGATCCTGGGTGGAAGGAAGACGGCAAGACTCCGGTTAAGCTACGATGGTTGTAGAGTCTGCAGTGGTTGTGGTGTCCGGTGCGGTGCTTGTGGTCCTCAGCACAAGCTAGGAAGCGTCCATCAACGGAAGGTACTCGGTCTGTTACACATGTCTACTCACTTCTATGAGCTGCTCTATAGTATCTTATTGAGCAAATGTCTACACACTTCTCAATTACTTTAAAGAGAAAATGCTGAGGGTTTATGGAGATATTCAGTTACATAGTATGTCATATGTGCCTTAGATGAAAGAACATTTATACACTATTTTAAAAAAAAAACGTGCATTACCGGTGTAACAAAAGTGAGCTTTGCTGAGTAATGAATACTTTGAAGAGAACACTATAGTGTCAGAAATCAGTGCATTTCTATTAAGGAAAATTCA